TATCTTCAGCAATATCACTGAAAATGGCCCTAAAAGCCGTTTTATTGTAGCCATCATATCAGCCTGGTCTGAATGCAGAGAGGCTGTTGTTTTTTCTCTCTCAGCTTGAAGTTGAGCCCATTTTGCTGACGTCAAGTCACTGTCTCTTTGCCCTGCCGTCACCATGACGACGATGGCTAACATTTTTTTCAACAAGTCAGGTGTTGCATTTCGAGGGTCTGTCGATTGGACTCCCTCATTTCACACTAAGCCCAGATGGAGAGAGAGAGAGACGGAAAGAGCAGTCTGCCATCTGGGGGATGATTAGCTCTTATTGGGTGAGGGGGATTTATTTGGAAAATAAGGCAGAGACTGAAGTGCGGTGACAAAGGATAAACCGCAGGGAGTTCATGATAATGTTGTTTATCGATGAGACTCTCTGTGTGAAAGAGAGTAAATCTACCTCTGGTCTACCTCCAGTCATGTCTGGATAATTGCAGAATTTATCACTTACATTACTGTTTGTTTAAAAATACCATTATATATATATATATATATATACAGTGGGTACGGAAAGTATTCAGACCCCCTTAAATTTTTCACTCTTTGTTATAACCAAGGCTGCATTTATTAAACAGTAATATCTTTTACAGTTATAGTATTACAGTTAAATGCACGGTTTTCTATTGTAATATATTTTAAAATGTAATTTATTCCTGTGATGGCAAATCTGAATTTTCAGCATTATTCTTTGATGAATAGAAAGTTCAAACAGCATTTATTTGAAATAGGATTTTTTGTCTTTTCTGTCAATTTTGATCAATTGAATGCATCCTTGCTGAACAAAAGTACTAATTTCTTTCTTTAAAAATCTATCTATCTATCTATCTATCTATCTATCTATCTATTGTTGTGTCATTGTGGATATTACTTTTTTGTGCAATAATTCTCTTCTACCATTTGCATCTGAATCTGCCAGGCTAAAGACAATTAAAGGAACAAAGCAACATCTATAAAGGAGACCATCAATGCACAGGCACAGCACCTTCATCTCAATCTCAGTTCCATGAATCTGCTGTGCAACTGTCTTGATGATCCCTATGACGATGTCCTGAAGACCTTCTCTCTCAGAGTAATAGTGTAAAATGAGGTTGTTCCCCTTCTCTGCATCCGTGCAGCGGAAGGAGGGCGCGCGCATGCCGGGGTAGATGGTGCCCAGATGGTCATGCAATGCATCCAGATTCTGAAAGAGAACAAGCTGATATTAATGTGCTGATGTAAGGAGCAGATTTTTGCAAAGTCAGTGCAATGAAAAGGGGTGAAAATAGGGTATCTAGTATCTAGATTTTAGTAGCACTAAGCTTTTATACTACACAATATTTAGTGAAATCAGCTTCAGTTATGGCAAACTTTTCTCTCATTTTTAATTTTACTATGGGCACAGTCGTATGGAATTTTTCACAAAATAAGGCAAAAAAAATGACATTCTTTAAAAAACATGATATATAATGAAAGAACATTAAGGATTTATTTAAAATATAGCTGATGATGTTATTGTCAATAATCTGCACTAGCACAGAACATGCCATTTTCATTCTGTAATCTAACAAAACTATTATTATTTAATACTCTATTATTATTTTAAACTATTTTAAAAATCACCCTCACTAAAAGTACAGTACATGCAGTGTGTGAAATAGAGAACAGACAGTGTTACTTGCGTCACTTTCTCAACATTGCTGCTGCTGATTTTTGGGTGATAAAAACAGTAGCCTCTTACTTGTAAGAATTCACGGACATTGGAGCCCAACACTCGAAGGATAGTGTCATAGCCAGATTCCTGACAGAACTCAAAAAACATTTTCCCGAACATTTGCAAGATGCCTCCGGCATCCATTTCTATAGAAGAAGAAACCATATTTAAATCAACAGGCAATTCAAGAAGATTTTTACATTTAAACAAAGTAATTTTGTTACATTTCATTGTATAAGTTAATCATTATGATGTTCTGTCACTTATAATAGGCCACTTTTGATTTAATAAACCACTTAATAAATAAATCAATTTAGGTTTTCGCAAATGATTACCTCCATCTTTCCAAAACTACAACAATAACAAAAACAACCTTACTTAGTACTTTGCTTGCAGCAGCCACAAGGTCATATGTTTTGGCATCTTCATAGATAATTCTGACCAAAAACTGTCCTTCTACATCAACCTGAGCCTCTCTCCTAAAAGAAAAATATAATATAAAATATTTTAAACATCGAGTAATTGCTATTACATCATTAACATTAATTAAAAAACTAAAACATGTTTCATTAGAATTTTTAGACTCCAAGGTAATTACATATCTTTAAATTTTGAGAAAAATGAAAAGGAATATTTAATAAAAGCATGAAGATTGTTAGAGTTGGGTCAAAATGTGATTTGCTTGGACATATTACTAAACTGTGAGCTAAAAAAAATACAAATCAGCTTTGACTAAGAATGATGACCAAAGAGAAGTTCAGCCAAAAAGTCACAATAGTATCAACAAGGGAAAACACTTGTAAAACACAACCTAAAAATAGAAATAGAAACATTGTTAATCATGTCTTGGACAGTGCACTGCGAGATGCTGCTAACCTTGTGATAATATTGAACCTTGCTGAAAAAAATGCTGCAATAACTGAGTCCAACTGCTTTAATGTTGCCAGAAAATCGAGTGAGACTCGAGCTCACAACTTGAGCCTAAACAGGCTCTAAAACATTTGTTTACATTGCGCACAGCTGTGACTTGAAAAGACTGCTCTTAAAAGTCATGTTAAAGAGATGGAAGAAGTTAAATAAAGCTGAACTGTTTGTGCAAGAGGAAAAATTTGTATGCATGTGACTTCACCCCATGACATGTTATACGTGATTTCTCATGCTCTGAATAAAGGAAAAAGAGCATATGGTAGCAAAAACTGACCAATCACAATATACTGAGCTACAGATATCATTAATTGTATTTTTAAGGCATTGAGAAAAAGTGTTAAGAATAAAATAGCATTTGCTGAAATTTTATTTAGATTTCAAGCCAAAGTTTTGTAAGTGTCATTATAAATTGATAGTCACACACACACCTCTCCTTAAGTCACCTGAATTTATATCTGAGAACATCTATTATATGTACAGACACGTATGTTCAAATAGAATATACAATGCACATAAATGCAAAAACAAACAAAAAAAATTACAGAATATGACAATAAAAGATTGTCCATGATGTAATAGAGAAGTTCATATGAACTCACTTGATGTCCTCCCACACATCTGGACCATAATTTCTCAGCACCAGAAGTTCTAGTGCATGGTTCACAAAACCGTACTGCCAAAAAAGAGTGAAATATACAGTTGTGAAATTCATACATGATATAATAATAATATGTTTGTATATACACTACATGTAGTGTAATGCATTATTTGCCTTTTTCATTGTTTACATATTCAATGTACCATCTCTACAAACATGTTGTAGTGCTTTTTGTGCGTAAGACATGAGCTGTAATGAACATTTGAATTGAATTTTATCTCACAGTGAGGCAATACAGCTATTATAATAGCCTACAGAAATACATATTTGAGTAATGCCATATTTCCATCGCTTTTATACCACCGATGCTACCGTAAACTGCAGAGCAAATATTTACGTGAACAAGGATTACAGAATAAAAACAGAAATGTAAAAAAAAATTTAAAATCGCATTCATATTATTGCTACATACCATGTTCGGAATAATTCGCCAGTCCTGTTTGTGATACCTTAAATCACTAAACACCAGCACTGACAAACCGTACAGCTGTTACGAGTGAAACCACCATTCCTGAAACGAGCTCATTGTTATTGACAGAGGATGCAGCCAACGAGAGCGCAGGGATGCAAAAAGTACTACACACAGCTGGTTCTCGCTATTTGCGTTTTTCTGGATCCCGGATTCAGGAATTATACTCCGTTGAAGGATTGTCTCATGAATATTAATTACGCAACATGACGTTTGTACAGAATACCTATCTGATTGGCCGCGAGGTAGACGCTAGTAGGTGGGCGCTAATCAACTGGCGAATTAACGATTCCTACTATGGTTGAAGGCCTGGGTCATGAATATTAATTAGGTTACGTTCTGTAAGCTCCGGGAAGGTTACCAAGCAACGCCAACATGACCTTATTAATATTCATCGACCAAGCTTTAGCAGGGGGAATGCTGTCAGGAGATATTATCGTTGGAGCTGTTTAGAAATATCTTAATATTGCAATCAGTCTAATCAATGAAAAATGAATCAAATTAAGAAAATTAATTCGTAATTTCATACCCTATTGATTTTATTATTTTATGAAGACGTTTAAATTTTCATGAAGCTTATACTTTGTTCTTAGTCAATTTGATAGCAAGATATTAGCCTAATATTTCTTTAATTTATACATTTCAGATTAATCTCTAATTTGTTATGCTATATGCCCTAAATGAAATCAATTAAACCTGAATGTCATATTTGGGTTTTATATTCTGAAACAATTAATAAAACCTGTTGGATTTCTGTTGTAATTATAATTCAAAAATTTTTTTTTTATCTGTGATAGCAAGAAATACTCATTTCTTCACTTCTTTTAGAATTTTATATTTAATAATATGTAGTGATGAATATAGTAGAGCTAAATGAAATTCACCATGGTGTGGTATTTTAAGCACAGACAGGTTTATCATAACATTTTTGTTTTGTGCTTCTGATACATTACCATACTTTTCATGAAGCATGTTAATCTTGGTAGATTTTAGCAAAAAAACAAAACAAAACAAAAACATGACCCCTGTTCTGTTTAACAACATGTTAAAACATCGTTAGGACGTGTTATGTGAAGAACAGTGTTATGTGAAATCTGAACAAAATTAAGAATAATGCAACAGTGTTATCTTTTTGTGGTCTTTTCATGAAAAGACCAGGTCGCATTGAAACATGAGACATTAAACAAAACAAACCTTGAGTAAAGCATGTTTATTACAGATCTATTACAATACAAAAAAGTCACAATGTTTACTTTAAGGATGACTGTGGTCTGACTCTGCTAATGTGAACCTTTACTGTGTGCTTTTCTTCCCCTTCACTGTGTGGTGCACTACAATGAAATGTGCTCTATTCAGACTATTGAATTGATACTAATTGCCCCATACACAATAAATGATTCACTTTATTGGTTCTGTAGCATTTAAATAATATAAATACAAATGTGGATGACATTCTCTGCTTTTTAGATTTTTGGTATACAGTCAGGAAGTCAAAATAAACTAAATACTTTATTAAAACAAGATGTTCTGCCAAACAAAAATCTGAGGCTTTAAACCAACACTTCTGTGAACAAAAACTGTGCACAGTGAACCCCTTCTAATGAGTGTTATTTGATAGCTTTTTGGCAACATTCAACAGTTGGATGATAAACTACCTCTGGCTCAACTAAAAAGATACACAGAGTGACAGGCAGTATTAACCCACTGTTTCCAGCATTTGTGTCTTAAAGATTTTATGTTTTTAATCCACTGGGTTGAGTTTCGTCTGTAGCACAGCCAGTGGAAGCAGCACTTGTCATTTGATCGCGAGCCTGGAGGAAGTAACAAACTCCAGGGATGTCGGCAGGGAAGTTGGGCGGAAGATCCTCTCTTGTCCGGGGGATGAGAGTGAACTCTGGACAATCTTTTAACAATCTGAAATGAGAGAGAAGTTACAAATTGTCCTAAAACCCACATGCAGGTACACAGTAAACCTGCTAGTGCTAAATCACCTCTAACAGAGTGGAATATACTTAAAATACTTGTACTTGTTTTGGCTCATCCAGAAATGATTTAATAAGGAAGATCTTCATGTGTTATTCTTTCTTAAACATAAAAAACACAGATCCATTTGGTGAAATGTTCCTGTTCTTTGTTCATTTAAAATGAATGCAGTTGTTTTACGCACACCTTATTGTACAATAACTGACTCACTGTTGCTCTCGATAACGTGTAAAAATAAATTTACCCTCACTTAAAATTCAAAACTGTAAAATAATAAAATAAACATTTAGTTACACTTGCCAGTAAGTTCTGAATACAGAATAAACAAACAGGACAGTTGTTTCTGTTTGTACCTGTATGTGGTGGGACTGACGTTAATCTTTCTTGGCAGGCTACAGGACTCAAACTTGTTGGCTAATGTGACGTTATTGCCAAAAAGGCAGTAGCGGGGCATTTTAACACCGACTACACCAGCCAAAACCGAGCCAGAGTGGATCCCGATACGCATCTGAGAATAAAACAAAGCAAAGACTCCTTTTAAAAAAAATTGTTTTCTTCTCAAATATTCTTTTTACATTCTTTATTGCAAGCCATAGGTAATATTAACATTTCTGAGCAAATTCAAAGTCTCCTGATGTGAATTGTTTTCCAAAATATATTTATCATTTAAACGATGATAATTCAGAAGCTCAAACCGAATCTTTAAACAAACATATACCTTTTTCCAAAACGAATGTTTGTATGTAAGGGATAATGTACATCCAGCCGGTTGTTATCTCAGATTATCGTCTAATTATTTACTTGTGGCAAGTAAATAATTAGATTTAATTATCCGCTTCGCGTCGGGGTCCTGATCACCCTGTCGGGGTTTATTCTGAGATAACAACCGGCTGGA